TTTTCTCTTCTACATCTGAGATTCTATTTTCTGAATGATCTAGTCTGCTTTTAATACTTTCAAGGGAGATTTTGACTTCTTGTATTATAGACTTCATCTCTAGCAGTTCCGTTTGAGTCTTCTGTAAAGTGTGTAATTCCTCTTTTAGATCTTGCAAGAATTTCCTCATCTCCTGGAAGTCGTCAACTTCTTTCTCCTTTCTCTTTAGCAGTTCATTATCTCTCTTCTCTTCCATCGCTGTTAGCTTTGCCATTATGAATGTTCTAAATTCTTTATCAGACATTTCCATGATTTTCACCGAACTGCTTGTGGATGAAGAAGAGTTACTCCTTTCCCTTGGAGGAGAGGTATTTTCTTGTTTTCCCATATTTCTTTTGATCCGGCAGTGATTTCTTGTCATCTGATGGATGTTGTGTTTCTTTCAAATTCTTGAAGTTCAGCCTGAATGTTCAGGAGCAAGCAGACAGAGGTGATGTAGAATCTCTTTGCCGTTCTGTTGTGATTGCTGGTGCTCAGATTCAGTAGATATTGGGGAATATTTTAACCCTATTAGTATTTGGATGTTTAGCTACAGTGCTCTTAGATCTGTCGCTAGCTCATTTTCTGGAGGCTGAATTATCAGTAGAAAATCTTCATTCCCTGAAATATCTAGTTCGCTGGAGCCATGCGGTACCTTCTTCTCCATATTCGTAATTGTGAGAGGGTGCGTGCACTGGCCAGAGACCAGGGTGGGGAGAGGGTGGGGAAGCACCACCCACTGGGACATGGCCACACTGTAACCCTGTCTGTTTTTTCTGTCCTATTGGGATACGCCTGGTGTGTTTTCAAGCTATCAGGGCTGTAATTCCAACCACGTGGTCGGCCATGTTGGATAAGGCTCCCTTAACCACTGGATTATGGGGCTGGTCCTAAACTTTTAGTTTTCTTTAAAACATACACATCCTAAGCCTTAAAAAGATAATTATTCTGATTTTCTTTAATTAGCAATGTTCCCCTCTTCTGCCACTGTGTTGAGTTCCATCTAGCGCTTCATTTACTGGTCTTTAATGATGTACTCATAAATCCTGGGTGTAGCTAATAAACAGCAAGGGTTTATTTAGACGCATTCTTATTTGTGTGTGGCGCTTCATACAGGTTCTTGCTGTATCTACCCTTTCTGCCTCAGCCCCCCAAGCAGCTGGGACCACAGGGACATGCCATTCCACCCAGCTTCTGACAGTGGCTAGGATGGAACTCGGTCTTCCAGGTGGCCTCAGCCTTCTCAGCAGCAGCGTCCAGCATGCACTGTGTTGGCTGGGCCTTAGATGAATTCTTTTGTTGTTTTTAAATAATTATTTTATTTAACTTTAAGTATTTATTTATTTTAAAATTTGACCAGTGTGGGAGAGAGGGAAAGTGAGGAAGCAAGCAGGCAGGTTCAGGACTTGAACTGGAGCTGGCCATGTGGGAATCTAGCACCCTTAACTACCATGCCACCTGCTAGGCCCATAGGTGAATTCTTATAGGAGCCATTTTATTTTATTTATTTATTTATTTATTTTTTGGAGAGGTTTTTGCTATAGGGCGCGTGCGCTCACCAGACAGACAGAGACATAGAGACAGAAAGCGAGAAATCACCTCCCGGGGGGATGGTCACACCGTAGTCCCTTCTCCATTCTCCTCTCGGGATCTTGGGCACGCATGCACACACGTCTGGTGTGAGTTCTAAGCCAACCGGGTCCGGGACGCGAGCCACAGTCGACTATGTGGGAGTCCAGAGACATAGCCATTACACTAACGGCTGGTTCCCAATTTAATTTCAATAGTTAAAGGGTACATCGACCACTGTATGTGTGTGTGTATGTGTGTGTACATACTGTATATCCTTTATATCCTTTTCTATATTTTATTTGAGTGGTAACTGCAAAAGTTTGCCAGTCTATTCTTACGTATTTCGTGAAAGCTAGCTTTTATTTCTTCTTGGCAATTTTCCAGGTGGTCCTTTGGCTAACTACTCAGTCTGTGAATCTTGTCTCTTTGCCTCTGTTCCTCTACCCCATGACTAGTTACCAATAAACATGTTCTTCTAAAACTAGAATGTTTTGTTTTATGTAATGCATTATTATAACACATTTAGAAAGTACAAGAAAAGTTCAATAACGATATTGTTCACAGGGCTAGCAGGTCGTGTGGTTAAGGTGCTGGACTGCCACATGGCCGACCACACTTTTGAGTCTTGGTCCTGGTGGCTTGCTTTCTCACTTTCCCTCTCTCTCTCTCTCTGTCTCTCTGGTGAGTGTACGTGCCCTGTAGCAAATTAGATAATAATGATAAATAAAATAAGTAATTATTTTAAAAATATATATTGTTTAGAAGTTCTACCCTAATGAAAGAGCTAAAACATGAATAGTTCGGTGCATTTCCTTCTAGCTAGTAATTGTTAGTTGGGGCAGATGTATTAAAATGAACTTCCCGTGAACATGACTGCATGTCTTTTCTACACTGGCATGTACAGCTTTCATTATTGCAGATACTCTCTTCGGGTTCCTTCTTGGGCCTCCCAAGTGTTGCGCACACTTCAGAAGTAGTTCCGGCCTAGCCGTGGTGGCCCCAGCAGCGGGGCACTGCTGTGTAATGCTGGAGCCGCACAGGAGGTCCAGTTTGGGTCCTGGGTTGACTGGAACACACCTGCTCGTGGCACAGACCTGTGATCCTGCTGATTTGGGTAACGTTCTTGCTGTGTGTTGACTTATTCTCTTGGTGATTTATAGGTCATTAATTTTTACATGAATCTTCTTGTGGAAAGAAACAAGAAGCAAGGCTATCCAGCACTTCACGTGTTCAGTACCTTCTTCTATCCCAAGTTAAAGTCTGGGGGCTACCAAGCAGTGAGAAGATGGACCAAAGGAGTAAATCTCTTTGAACAAGAGCTCATTCTGGTGCCTATTCACCGGAAGGTGCATTGGAGTCTGGTGGTGAGTTGAGAAGGTTAATTTCTGGAATTTGGATAAAGGCTGTTTTTAAAAATCATGGGGGGGGGGGTCCCCTTTCTGTCTAGTGAATAGCAGTAGTCTCTGTTGTTGGCATACTCAGCGGAGTTCCTTCTTTTTCTTTTTTTCCACAGAGTACACACGCACTTGCCAGAGAGAGACAGGAAGAGACAGAGCACCCCCACAGTGGGGCGTGGTCATGCCACAGTCCCTTCTTCATTTCTCCATCCTGTCGTAATTTTGGGCACGCATGCACATGCACCCAGAATGCTTTTCAAGCTTCCAGGGCTGGGATTCAAACCATTGTAGTTAGCTATATAAGATCTGGCTGTCTTAAACACTAGGTGGTAGAGCCAGTCCTGCAGATTTCCTGCTTAGTTTTTTGAGTTGAACTACTTAGAAAGCTAGAAGACATGTTCCCTGTACTTGAAAACTTTCTTTTTCTTTTTTTTTTTTTTAGTGTTTTTTTCCCCACAGGGCATGTGTGCTTGCCAGAGAGAGACAGCGAAAGGGAGAGAGAGAAATCACCGCCCAGGGTAGATGGGCGTGTGGCAGCTCATTTCTCGTCCTGGGATTTGGGGCATGTGCACACACACACGCAGCATGATTTTCAAGCCACCAGGTCCAGGACTCAACAGCCGATCGTGTTGAAGTCCAGCACCTTAACCACCACACCACCTGCTAGCCCCACACAACTTTCTTTTTTAACAGAGTTTTATACACATGGGGGTTATTTTGTTTAGTTTGATAATAATACTTACAAGCTGGTACAGATTTATTGTAGAGAAGTGACGATACAAAGAAGCAAAAAAATCTCATTACTCTAAGAGAACCACTGATATTTTGGTGAATAAAAGTTTCTAGATCTTTTCTCTAGAAATAGAAATATATGATTTTTAAAAAAATGTATTTGTTGATTTTTAATTTGTCAGAGGCTCATGTACTCTCCGGGGAGGGGGAAAAAGAGAGTCAGAAAGCACCCTCTTCCCCGCCCGCGATGGAACATGGTCACACCACGGTCCTTTCTCTTCTGTTGCTCTGTCCTTTTGGGAGTTTGCACACGCATACACACCTGGCCTGTTTTTCAATCCGTGGAGTCTGTGCCTTAACCATGCAGTTGGCCCTGTGGGATCCATCGGCCTTAGGCACCAGCCATGCGCTAGCCAAAAATATATCATTTTAATTATTTACTTAATTTTATTTATTATTTTTTAATTTGACTAGAGAGGCAAACAGCGAGAGACAGAGAGGGAAAGTAAGAAAGTGAGCTGCCAGGTCCAGGACTCAAACTGTGGTTGGTCATGTGGGTATGTACAGTGCCTTAACCACCACGCCACCTGCCAGCCCTTATATTTCTTTTTAAAAACACTAACATATCTTAGAGAAATCTATTCATTTTGGTACATGTATTGGCATATTAAAAAATGTTTTTTTCTTGGGACCAGCAAATGGCATAATGGTTACATCGTCGGACTCTCACGTAGTCAGCTGCAGTTCGAGACCCGGCGGCTTAATCTTGGCCAGGCAAGTGTGCATGCCCAAAAAATCTAAAGAGGAGATTGGAGGAGAAGGGATTGCGTTGTGGCCATCCCCCCTGAAGGGTGATTTCTCACTTTCTCTCTCTGGCCAGCACAAGTACCCTTACAGCAAAAATCTCACTTTTAAAACAATGTTTTGTTTTGTTTTTTTTTTCTTTATGAAAATAAATTCTCACCCTTGTTAACATTAAAGCTGTTTCTGGATGTTGTGTTTTTCCATTGTAGGTGATAGACCTAAGAAGAAAGTGTCTTAAATATCTGGACTCTATGGGACAAAAGGGCCACCGGATCTGTGAGCTTCTCCTGTAAGTAAAGGATAAAAAACTTGACCTTTTTTTTATTACTCTCTTGTTAGGTGGTCTGTCTTCTGTTTAGTCCTAGGAAGCTCTGTGGATGGTGGTCTAAAAGTCAGTAACTGCCAGGTCCAGGACTCAACAGCCGATCGTGTTGAAGTCCAGCACCTTAACCACCACACCACCTGCTAGCCCCACACAACTTTCTTTTTTAACAGAGTTTTATACACATGGGGGTTATTTTGTTTAGTTTGATAATAATACTTACAAGCTGGTACAGATTTATTGTAGAGAAGTGACGATACAAAGAAGCAAAAAAATCTCATTACTCTAAGAGAACCACTGATATTTTGGTGAATAAAAGTTTCTAGATCTTTTCTCTAGAAATAGAAATATATGATTTTTAAAAAAATGTATTTGTTGATTTTTAATTTGTCAGAGGCTCATGTACTCTCCGGGGAGGGGGAAAAAGAGAGTCAGAAAGCACCCTCTTCCCCGCCCGCGATGGAACATGGTCACACCACGGTCCTTTCTCTTCTGTTGCTCTGTCCTTTTGGGAGTTTGCACACGCATACACACCTGGCCTGTTTTTCAATCCGTGGAGTCTGTGCCTTAACCATGCAGTTGGCCCTGTGGGATCCATCGGCCTTAGGCACCAGCCATGCGCTAGCCAAAAATATATCATTTTAATTATTTACTTAATTTTATTTATTATTTTTTAATTTGACTAGAGAGGCAAACAGCGAGAGACAGAGAGGGAAAGTAAGAAAGTGAGCTGCCAGGTCCAGGACTCAAACTGTGGTTGGTCATGTGGGTATGTACAGTGCCTTAACCACCACGCCACCTGCCAGCCCTTATATTTCTTTTTAAAAACACTAACATATCTTAGAGAAATCTATTCATTTTGGTACATGTATTGGCATATTAAAAAATGTTTTTTTCTTGGGACCAGCAAATGGCATAATGGTTACATCGTCGGACTCTCACGTAGTCAGCTGCAGTTCGAGACCCGGCGGCTTAATCTTGGCCAGGCAAGTGTGCATGCCCAAAAAATCTAAAGAGGAGATTGGAGGAGAAGGGATTGCGTTGTGGCCATCCCCCCTGAAGGGTGATTTCTCACTTTCTCTCTCTGGCCAGCACAAGTACCCTTACAGCAAAAATCTCACTTTTAAAACAATGTTTTGTTTTGTTTTTTTTTTCTTTATGAAAATAAATTCTCACCCTTGTTAACATTAAAGCTGTTTCTGGATGTTGTGTTTTTCCATTGTAGGTGATAGACCTAAGAAGAAAGTGTCTTAAATATCTGGACTCTATGGGACAAAAGGGCCACCGGATCTGTGAGCTTCTCCTGTAAGTAAAGGATAAAAAACTTGACCTTTTTTTTATTACTCTCTTGTTAGGTGGTCTGTCTTCTGTTTAGTCCTAGGAAGCTCTGTGGATGGTGGTCTAATGTATAGGTTTTTGTGTATTTTTTTTTTTCATTTAAAACTCTTTAATTTTATTTATTTACTTTTTAATTTGATGAGAGAGAGACAGAGAGGGAAAGTGAGAAAGCAAGCTGCTAGGTCCGGGATTCAAACCACAGTCAGCCATGTGAGAGTCCAGCAGCTTAACCACCATGCCACCTGCTGGCTGTGGTCTAGTCAAGGTCATCTTCTCAGTTGCTCAGAACATAATTTGAATCCATTTTTTCTAGTTTAAAAACAACCTTGGGACCAGCAGTTAGTGTAATGGCTATGTCACTGAACTCCCATGTAGCCAACAATGGTTCGAGTCCCCAACCTGGTGACTTAAAACTCACGCCAGGCACATGTGCGTGCATGCCCAAGATTCCGAGAGGAGAATGGAGGAGAAGGGATTACGACGTGGCCATCCCCCCGGGGGGTGATTTCTCGCTTTCTGTTTCTCTGTCTCTGTCTGTCTAACGAGCGCATGCGCCCTATGGCAAAAACCTCCCCCCCAAAAAAAATAAATAAATAAAAATAACCTAATATCTGATCTCAGCTGAGAAGTCTTATTTAATGGCATCATTAAGAACAAAGTTGTCCTGCGTGACCATGTAAAATGTATCTTATAGAGTCCTGTGATCAAACTTAATTTTTTGGGGGATTCATATGTTATATGGAAGACCCTAAAGCATTCTTGATTGGAGAGTATTCATCCTCTGAATTCTCAAGCCCTGCTATGTCTGGTTTTTTGCTGCTTGGGCTCATTTCATCGAACCCAGAGGGCAGTTTTTAAGTGTATGACTTGTAGGCAACTATCTCAAGTAGGAATTGTTAGAAACATGCCTTTGAATTAAAGCACAGCTGCTTCTTACCTCTGTAATGTGAAATAAATTTCATAGTAAGGAATAAGATGAGTCCATTATTGAACCTTTTCTGCTTACTGGAAGTGAACACAGGTTCCTACTTTTAACTAAGAATAAATAGACTTGTTAAATGAATCTTATGAAGAAAAATCATTAACAATTATTAGTCCAATACTGTCTTAGTATAAGAAATTATTTTTAGGGGCAGTGGGAGGTGTGATGGTTAAGACTGTATCCCACATAGCCAACTCCATGGTTTGAGCCCCAGACCTAGCGGCCTGAAAATCCTGCCTGGTGCATGTGCGTGCCCAGGGTCCTGAGGAGAATGGAGGAGAAGGGATTGTGGGATGGTCATCCCTTGGGGGGAAATTTCTCTCTTTCTTTCTTTGTGACTCTGGCAGGTGCACGCACCCAAGAACAAAATCTAAAAATGAAAAATAAAAAGGCTTTTAATTTAATTTATTATCTTGAATAAAAAGTATAGAAACTTAAAAATATAAATTAACATAATTGTACATATTCATGGGGATACAGTATGATTGTTAAAAAAAGAATTTCTCTACTTTATGTGTTGTTATTATTTTTAAAATTTCACCAGAGAGAAAGAAAAGGATAATGAGAAACCAAGCTGCCAGGTCTGGGATTTGAACCATGCTAGGCCATGTGAGAGTCCAGAGCCTTAACCACCACACTACCTGCTGGCCCCTACAGTAGGACTTTTTAGTACAAAAACATAATGGGTAATTAGTATACCCATCATGTCAACCATTTGTTATTTGTGTTGGGAATATTTAAATCTTTGCTGTAGTTACTTTGAGATACTTAGCAAGAAAAAGAGATTTTTAAAAATTATAAGATATGCCTAATTGCTTATAAAGTGCTTATGTCTTTATCTCGTATGTAAGATGTGTATAAGTTATGCACACATGTACGCATATATAGTGAGTATGTAATATATACATGGCAATAAAATATTGGAACCTTACAGCATAGTTTGTTTTTTTTTGAGAGATTTTCACTGTAGGGCGCGTGCGCTCGCCAGACAGACAGACAGAGACATAGAGACAGAAAGCGAGAAATCACCCCCCAGGGGGGATGGTCACGCTGCAATCCCTTCTCCTCCATTCTCCTCTCGGGATCTTGGGCACGCACGCACACGCGCCCGGCGTGAGTTTTAAGCCACCGGGTCCGGGACACGAACTGCGGTTGACTACGTGGGAGTCCAGCGACATAGCCATTACGCTAACTGCTGGTTCCCGACAGCATAGTTTTATATGCAGTTTATAACAGGATACTTTAAAAACCCCATCCTGGGGGCCGGCAGGTGGCCTGATGGTTAAGGGTGCTGGACTCCCCCATGGCTGACCACAGTTCGAATTCCTGGCCTGGTGGCTTGCTTTCTCACTTTCCTTCTCTTTCTCTATCCCTCTCTGGTCAAATTTAAATGAAAGAAAGAAAGGAAAGGAAGGAAGGAAAGAAGGAAAGAAAATTATTTATTTTTTAAAGAATTATTTATCTAATTTTACTTATTCATTCACTTTTTTTTTTTTTTTTTTTTTTAATTTGACCTATAAAAAAACCAGAAAGAAACAGGGAGAGAGAGAGAAAGTAAGCCACCAGGTCCAGGACTTGAACCATGGGTGGCCATGTGGGAGTGTCCAGTGCCTTAACCACCATGCCACCCGCTGGTCCCCAGTAAAACAATTCTTTAAGAAAATAATATAGAAACCCCATACTGTTACCACATTCATAACTTTCTTTTTTATGTTTGGGAAGTTTGGTTCTTGTGAGTATCTGAGGTCTCTAGTTTTTTCAACTTTTTTTTTTTTTTTCATTATCATCCTTCCCCAGGAGAGAAATTTTATTAAAGAGAAATGAGAAAATAGTACTAAAGAATAAGATTTGAGTTGAGCTTTGGAAGACTGCAAGCCTTTTAAGATTTTTGGCTGCAGAGAAGCAGTTTCACCCTTTTGGACAATTTCGCTCACGTTGAGCGTGCACATCCTGGTCTGACCTTGGCGTACTCTAGGACAGGGCAGGATGGAACAGATGACCGGGCTCTTGGCGTTGATAACCTCTCTGTCTCTGCATTTTTTTTTTTTTAACTAAAAATGATACCTTGAAAGTTTTATTTCTTCCATGAGAGAAAGGGAGCGCTAGAAAGACACATGCACTCCCGCAGAGTCCCACGGTCAGTCCTGCCACCTGAACTGACACACATGTGCACCTCGCATGTCAGAGGGAGTCTTGAGTGTGAGCCCCGGGCCTTCCCATGTAAGTCATGCACTGCAGTCGTGGTACTGCTCTGCCACTATCCAGCCCCAAATCAATCACCCTTAACACTTAAGAGTAAGATTCTGAAAACCACCTAAGAGTATGGAAAGTTTCCTACATAACCAATAATCATTGTCATCCTTCAGAATTAACAATCAGTTATTGTTAGTTATTTTTATTTATTTATTTTTAAATGAATTATTTATTTGATTCCATTTGTTATTATTATTTTTTAATTTGATCAGACAGAGACAGGGAGAGATGAGAGAGCAAGCCGCCAGGTCTGGGACCCAAACCACGGTCTGCGATGTGGGAGTCCAGTGCCTTGAACCACCTTACCACCTGCTGGCCCCCAGCAATCAGCTATATTTAATACATGGTCCACGTTTCATTTGGTTCAGATGTCTTTTGTGACTTTCTCTTCTAATCAAGGAAACAGAGTTCATACATTCCTCAGTGTCTCCTTTTTTTTTTTTTTAACTTTAGAACAATTGTCTTTTCTTTTCAGTTTTTTATGGCAAATTTTTTTTTTTTTTTTTCAAAAGAGTCCAGGCCAGGGGCCAGCAGATGGCATGGTGGTAAAGGCGCTGGATTCCGCCCATATTGCTGACTGTGGTTCGAATCCTGGACCTCGTGGCTTGCTTTCTTGCTTTCCCTCTCTCTGGTGAGTGTGTGCACCCTATAGCAAATTTAAAAATAGTAATGATGATAAATAAAATTAAGTAACTAATTCTTTTTTTTTTTTTTTTTAGAGGTTTTTGTTTT